AACCTGCCAGCTGGCCTCAGCTGCTGGGGGCGGGGGAGGGGAAGGGAGGTCTGGGAGATTGGCCTTGCTCTCCTGGCCACACATTCAGCCTGGCACAGCATCCATGGTCTTCATTGGAGCCCCACTGGGTGTGGGTTTTTTTTTTTTTTTTTTTTGGGGTCCGGTCGTGGGGCCTGAACTCTGGGCCTGGGCGCTGTCCCTCAGCTCTTCAGCTCAAGGCTAGCGCTCCACCACTTGAGCCACAGCACTACTTCCAGCTTTTTTCTTTTTGCTTATGTGGTGCTGAGAAATTGAACCCAGGGCCTCATGCATGCAAGGCAAGCGCTCTACCACTGAGCCAACTTCCCAGCCCCAGAGACTATGAGACTGTTATATCCAATGAACCACCAAAAAATTGAAAATGGAGGTGTGGCTCAACTGGTAGAATGCCAGTCTTGAGCAGAAAAACGTGAGAAAGCGAGGGCCTGAATCCAAGCCCTGTATGGGCTGAAAAAACAAAAAGTACTAAACTGCAATTCAGTGGATGGATTTCAGTGCCTATGAATCTAACTCACTACAATCGTAGAAGAGGAGGGAAGATGGTTACAAAAAAAAAAAAAAAGGATCCAGGTGCTTGAACTCAGGGCCTGGGTGCTGTCCCCGAACTTTCTCACTCAAGGCTACTACTCTACCACTTTAAATCACAGCACTACCTACATATTTCTGATGTTTAATTGGAGATAAGAGTCTAATGGACAAACAAAAACAAAAACAAACAAAAAGAGTCTCCTGGACATTGCTGGTCTGGCTTTGAACCATGATTCTCAGATCTGAACCTCCTGAATAGCTAGGATTACAGGCATCAGCCATTGGTACCCAGAGGGAAGAATTATTTCGGTGTTACCAAAGAGAAAACAGAGACTGAGGATCACATGCGGAACCCAAAGTCTGGGCCCAAATGGATCATGGGACTTATGTGAGATAGTGGGACTTATACTGAGATTAATCTGTTCTGGGGCTGATATTCTCATCCTTCAGACCCTGCTTCTGCTTTTGCTGTGTGTTTCCCATTCTGTAAAATGAGTGAGCCAGGTGCAGGTGGCTCATGCCTGAAATCCTAGCTACTGAGGAGGCTGAGATTTAAGGATCATGGTTCAAAGCCAGCTCAGGCAGGAAAATCAGTGACACTCTATCTCCAATTAACCACCAGAAAACCTGAAGCGGAGCTAAGGCTCAAAGTGGTAGAGCAGGGCTGGGAAGATGGCTCAGTGGTAGAGTGCATGCCTTGCAAAGTGGTAGAGCACTAGCCTTGAGCAAATGAGCTCAAGGATAGCACCCAGGCCCTCAGTTCAAGCCCCACAACCAAAAAAAAATAAAAAAGAGTGGAGTTGAACAAGCCATGGGCCCTTCCACACAATGGAATAGAAAGATCCACCTCCATTCCCCCCCACCCCTCAGTAATGGTTTTACTCAGAGGAGCTTCAGGAGTCACTGGGTACCACCATGCCCAAACGAGCCTGAGATCAGAGAAAGCCTCTCAGAATGGTCACTAATTGATCTGGGCTTCAAGTGATGAATGGGAGCTTGCCAATATAAGTATAGGAGAAAATGAAACCTTCTGGCTTGGTGCTGGTGGCTCACACCTGTAATCCTAGCTAGTCAGAAGGCTGAGCCTGAAGATTACGATTCAAAGCCAGCCTGGGGAGAAAAGGTCCATGAGACTCTTTTTTTTCCCCAGTCCTGGGGCTTGAACTCAGAATGAGGGCACTCTCCCTGAGTTTCTTTTGCTCAAGCCTACCCCTACCACTTGAGCCACAGTACACTTCTGGCTTTTTCTGTTTATGTGGTACTAAGAAATCAAACCCAGGGCTCCATGCATGCTAGACAAGCACTCTACCACTAAGCCACATTCCCAGCACTGGAGAAACTCTGATCTCCATTTAACCACCAGAAAACCGGAAGTAGAGCTATAGCTCAAAGTGGTAGAGCTCTAGCCTTGAGCAAAAGAGCTTAGGGAGCTGGGCACCAGTGGCTCACAACCGTAATCCTAGCTACTCAAGAGGCTGAAGTCTGAGGCTCCTGGTTCAAAGCCCTGAGGAAAGTCTCTGAGACTCTTATCTCCAATCAATCACCAGGAAGCTGGAAGTAGTGCTATGGCTGAAGTGGTAGAGCACTGGCCTTGAACTGAAGAGTTCAGAAACAGTGCCCAGACCCAGAGTTCAAGCCCCAGCACTGACCAAAATAAAAAAGAGCTCAGGGACACTGCCCAGGCTTTGAGTTCAAGCCCATGACCAACAACAACAAACTTCTAGATAACAAATGATAATGTCCCATATATGTCCGCAGCCACCTTATGTCTTGTTGCTGTAATTCTACCACTAGTATGTCATTCCAAAGCTGGGTCGCCCTGCCTGAAGGGGATCCGCAGGGTTCACAGGGAAAAGGCAGAGCTGGACCTGCTGCACCAAAGCCAGTACTCTTACTCTAGATGGAGGAGAAGATGGGCAGCCTAAGAATAGCATCCCACCCCAGCAGCATGTGTGGCTCGGGCCTAAAAAAAATAAACCCTCAAGGACAATGGCCAGGCCCCTGAGTTCAAGCCCCAGAAATGAAAAATGAAAAAAATAGAGGAGTCTTAGGAGTCAAAGAAAAGAAGGAGCCTGGCCTGGCTGCTCCCTGCTAGAGGTTTCTCAGGAATCTCCCCCAGGCCTAGGCGGACAGGGCACAGACAGCTGGTGCAAAGGCCCAGAAGTGGGCAAGCACATGAGGCGGCCCTCATATCTGAGCTACATGCTTTGACCTCTCCTTTCCACTTGGGTTCTTCAAAGAGACGGAAGTCACCTGAGATCACCCACACAGTTTTATCATCCTTGCTTAGGGTGGTAGCCAGCTCTGACTCAGCTAAGCGTGGAGTCTCCCTGACCCCAGGATCTTTATCTCCTAACATGTAATGACTCATCCCTGCCTGGTTTGTTTCCAAACACCTGGATCCAACACACACTTGCTTTAATTTTTTTTTTAAATACCTACCAGGAGAAGATATTCTCAATAACTCTATCGGACCAAACACCTATAAACAAACAACGAAAGAAACTCCATTGGATTGAAACAAAAAGAATGAGGCAAAAAGCAGGCAGAAGAATGAATATCCCCAGAGGCCACAACAGCAGCTGAAAATGGCTCAATAGAAGCCACAATGAGCTGTGGCTTCGCATACAAAAATGGCTAAAATTGAAAGATGTGGCAGTCTCTCACAAAACTAAACATGAACTTACTCTATCATCATTTCTGGTAGCTATCAGGGGAGTCTGGCAATGCAGACTCTATAGGACAGGACTAGAGAACATATCGATTACAAATGCCTGGTCAATAGGTGGGTAGACAACCGGAATAAACACACAATGCGCTCATACGTGTGATCAAAAAGAGGCAATTATTCAGGCCAACCATAGGCATATGTTGGTTGAGGGAGGAGGAGGAGGAGGGAGTGGACCCTGAAAAGTCAAAGTAGTCTGATTCTACTCATAGACTGTTCTAGAAAAAGTTAGTGATGCTAAAGACCAGCGGTCGTGGTTACCTCAAAAGGAGGACCCTAGCCAAGACTAGTAGCTCACACCTATAATCATAGCTACTCAGGAAGCTGAGATCTGTAAAATTGTGCTTCAAAGTGAAACACGGCAGAAAAGTTCATCTCCATCTCCAAAATAAACAGCAAAAAGCTGGTCTAGAGGTAGAGCTCAAGCTGTAGAGCAGAAAGAGGCTGAGCAAGCATGAACAAAACAAGCTCAAAGCCCTGAGTTCCAAGCCCAGTACCAAAGAAAAAGGGGAGCACCAATTGAAATCAGGGTGTTTCTATTTCCCTGAGTAGTGGTCACGTGAACGTGAATGTCCAGTTTGCACCTTAATTAACAAAATAGTAAACACAGTAACCGGTAGTCATGTGATTCAGTGCCCTGGAGCCAAGCTTTGGGCACAAGGAAGAGGGAAGGGCTTGGAGCTGAGGTTTGTGCCTTGAGGTCAACCAGCCCGAGCAGCCCTGAATCCTGTCCTCAGGATTCTCGTGTCTTCGGGCGACTGCCTCAGCTGTGGAATGGATCCTAGAGGGGGGTTGGGGGGGGTGGGGAGCCTCTTCGGGAGAGGCTTGTGGCCTTCCAAATGGTCGTTTCTGAGGTTTTCTGCTTTCCACGGATCCTCCCCAACCCCACCCCACCCCCCATCCCCAGGGATCTTGCCCTCCTTCCTCTCGGTGGGAGAGACAGCTTTCAACCCAAACAAAGCCTCTTGGGGTTAACCCCTTCCCAGCAACTGCACACGGGTGGGGTGGGCTCCGCAGCTGGCCAGGGGCGCAGGCGCGTGTGCCCTTAAGGTATGTCTTTACTACTGGATGGTTTGTCCCTCTGGAAGACGGAGTCAGGCTTGGGTTGAGAATCTCACCCAGCGCTTGCTGTATACTTAACTTAGGCGGAGCCCGGGGAGGGGGGGAGCGCACACAGAAAGCGCTTACTAAATGCTGACAGTGCGGGTGTGTGTGTGAAAAGTATGGGGGGGAGGGTGGCGGGGGAAAAGAACCATTAGAATTTCCCTGCCAGTGGTGACATCTCTTTCTGGAGAAGAGTCGTGTAGGTGTGCAAGTCCTAGAGTCGGCGGCTGGCGGAGGAAACGCGAGAGCGCCGAGGAGGGGCGGGGGCAGCGCGGGGTTGGGGGGGGGGGGGCGGAGCGCCGCGCGCGGCCCCTTTAAGAGGCGACAGGAATGTATCAAAACAGAGAGGCGGCGCGCGCACGGGCCGCGCCGCGCACGTGACTCCCAGCTGATTTCCGCCCCCGCCCCCTTTTTCTTTCTTTTTTTTTTTTTTTTTTTCTTTCTGTGGCTCCGCCGCCGCCGCTCAGTCGCCGCCGCCGCCGCCGCCGCCGCCGGGTGTCAGTGTCCGCGCCGCCGCCCGCAGCTCCCGGCCGGGTCCCTGCGCCCGCGCGCGCCGCCCGATCGCGCCCCCCTCCCCCGGCCCGTCCGCCCCGCGCCGGCTCCCGGGCCCGCGGCCCGCACGATGGCGCACGCGGCGGCCACCGTGCCGCTGGGCGCGCTGGAGCAGGGCTGCCCCATCCGCGTGGAGCACGACCGCCGGCGCCGCCAGTTCACCGTGCGGCTCAACGGTAACCCGCCGCCCCCGCCTTTTGTTTGCCCGCCAGTTGCTCCCCGGCCCGGGCCCCCCGCACGGGGTGGGGTGGGTGTGGGGGGGGGTCCCGGGGGCGCGCGCGGGGGCGCGGGGACGCGCGGGGAGGGGGGAGCCCCCGCGAGGACCGGCGCGCGAGGGGATCCCCCCACCCCACCGGGGAGACCGACGGCAGCGGCCCGGACCTGGGCCACAGGCCACTGGCACCTGCTTCGGCCCGCTGGCTTCCGGTGTCGGCCGGCCGCCCCGCTGAGCACTCAGCCGTGCCCCTTTTCTGGTCCGAGGGTCCTGGGGCATCTTGCTCCTCCTCCATAGAAGCCTTGGCTTTACTGCTCAAGAGACGTGGAGGGGCGGGGGGGGGGGGGGGGAGAATCTCCGAAGTGGGGGGGGGGGGTGTGGTGCGGGTGGGGGAACCTGGGGCTGCTGGAGAAAAGGGGTTTCTGTCCCGTGGGGGAGGGGGACAGGTAGGTGTCTCTGAGAGTTTGGCCAGTTTGCCTCGGTTTCTCCATCTCCGTGGTGGGAATAGCGCCAGGTAGCTTTCTCTTTGGCTGGCGGGGTGAAAGACTGGGGGCTCGGTGCTGCTGATAAACATAGACTGGTCCTTATTTTTTAAACCACAAAGCCAAGTCAAGTCTTAGCTTCCTGTAGTTTGTGCCAGCCCACACCCCCTTCCCCTAGGTTGTCTGAGGGGTTGAAAATAGAACTATGAGATCAAGGACCCGGAACTCTCTGAATCTCCCACTAAGACTCTCTGGGGAAGTGGCCAACCCCCTTAGAGACTGCTGCTGTACCCATCTCTGAGAAGGAAAGGTGGAGGCCCAGTAGGGAAGAGGCTTGTCTAATGTCTGCTGGGATTGCATCTCCCTTGGTCTGGCTTCCCAAATGTGGCTGCCGACAAAGTCAGTAGGAGCCTGGGATTCTCTTTGGGTGGCCTGGGTGTGGAGCCAGGCCCCACTGTTTGCATGGCCTCCAGGATATAACTGACATGCTTGTGACAAGTGTGACAACTCCAACCTATTCTTCCCTCATAGAAGTAAGACCTGCTGTAATAGCCGGACCACCAATGATACTGGGGGCCCTGTCCACTGTTGTGGAGAGAGGGAGGCCTTGTGGCTTTTCAGATCCTCTTCTGAGGTATTGTGAGATTCTGGGTGGCTCTGGAGGCCATTAGTCTCAGTAGGGGAGAGGGAGGGACTCAGAGAGGGAGAGAGGGATAGCAGCCAAAGGACAGCCCTCCAACCTCACCATAGTTATACACTTGCCCCTCTGGAAGCCACTGCCTTGTGGCCAACTAGAAAAGTGGCCTGGATCCTCCCAGCCTCCAGGCAGCTCTTCCCTGGTCTCCGGGGCAGGTCCTCCTCCCAAGTTTCCAGGCCATGCTGTCCAGGCAGATGTGTATCTGAGGGCTCAGACAGGTGGTCTGTTCTGCCTGGCCAGCTGAGCTAAGATAGGGAACAGGTGTGGATAGGGGCTCCTGCCTCCAGGGCAGCAGCTACCTCTACTGCTCCGAGGAACTTGAGCAATCAGGAGCACATCTAGGCTGTCATTCTCTACCTTCAATCAGTCATGTGCCCCCAGCTGTCCCTGAGGCAGTGCTAGGCTGATGATGGTTCTGAGCAGGGGCGGGGAGTGGAGAGGTAGGGGGAGACATTTGAGCTGCTTCACTGGTTAAGCCCTTGAGTTGGAGAAGGCCCTGTGCTCTGCCACAGGGAGTGGAGTGGAAGCTGGAAACCCAATCCCCTCAGTTCCTGTTGACACTGAGGCACAAGGAAATGAGTGGTTCACCTAAGGCCTTGCATCTCAAGGTGGAAGAGCTGGGATTCAGTCCACAGTGTTTATTGAGCACCTACTGTGTGCCTGAACTCTTCCAGGTACTGGGGACTTGCAGGGCTGATGGTCAACAAATAAGTGATAAAGACTCAGGACCAGGTGCTGGTGGCTCACATCTGCAATCCTAGCTACTTAGGAGGCTGGGATCTGAGGATTGCTGTTCAAAGCCAGTTTGGACAGAAAAGTCCATAAAACTTTTATTTTTAATTAACCATGAAGAACCCAAAAGTGAGCTGGGTTCCAGTGGCTCATACCTGTAATCATAGCTACTCAGGAGGCTGAGATCTGAGGCTCACGGTTCAAAGCCAGCCCGCACAGGAAAGTAAGAGACTCTTATCTCCAATAAACCACTCAGAAAACCGAAAGCCGCGCTGTGGCTTAAGTGGTAGAACACTAGCCTTGAGCTGAAGAGCTGAGGGACAGCGCCCAGGTTCTGAGTTCAAGGTCCACAACTGACAAAAAAAAAAGCCAGAAGTATGGGACTGGGAAGGTGGCTCAGTGGTAGAGCACTTGCCTTGAATGCATAAGGCCCTGGGTTCGATTCCCCAGCACCACATAAGCAAAAAGAAAAAAAGCCGGAAGTGGTGCTGTGGCTCAAGTGGTAAAGTGTTAGCCTTGAGCTGAAGAGCTGAGGGACAGCACCCAGGCCCAGAGTTCAGGCCCCACGAGCAGACCCCCCCCTCCAAAAAAAAAAAGCCAGAAGTAGAGATGTGGTTCAAGTGGTAGAGTGCCAGCCTTGAGCAAGTAAAGCCAAGCAAGAATGTGAAGCCGGGTGCTGGTGGCTCACGCCTGTAATCCTAGCTACTCAGGAGGCTGAGACCTGAGGATCACGGTTCAAAGCCAGCCCGGGCACAAGAGACCTTGAGACTCCGGCTGCTGTTTGGATTTAGATGTCTAAGAAAACCCCTTCCCAAGAGGGAGGCATGTGAGTATAGACCCAGAGGAGACAAGAAACAGCTGAGCAATGAATGTTCCAAGTAGAGAATTGAAAGAGCAAAGGCCCTGGGGTAACTAGTGAGCACTCAGACCAGCAAGGATCCTTTCCAGATAGAGAGATGACGCTAGGAGGTGAAGTTAGTGTGAACTTGTGTGAATCTGGCTTTCACCTCTTTGCAAGGTAGATTCCCTCAAGAGTCCCAAGCAGAGAACAGAGGCGTAGCCCCAGCTCCTTCTGGCTGTGCTGAGGGGGGGTCTGGCAGGATAGGGCAGAGAGTGGTCACTGCAGGAATCCAAGTAATGTGAGTAGAGTTGGGGGAAAAGGTCCAGGTTCTGGACAGACATGGCAGGAAGCATGGCTAGGACTTGGTGACACGGTGTGTGAGAGGAGGCTCCAGCTCAGGCTCATCTGAGCCCACATGCCGATTCTAAAGTGCGGGCTGTGCTGTGACCATTTTATAGGTTGGAAGACCACGGCACAACTAAGCTAGGATGGAGCCACCAGCCTCCCTGTGAGAGTTATCATCTAAAGGTTGGAAGAAGCTGGGAAAAGTCCCAGTCCTGTCCTTTTATAGCCTGTTCTCTCCCACCTCAGCCAGAGCTAAGTGTCCCGTTTACTACAAGAGGAAGTGTCACTCAGGTTCCACAACCTGGGGTTTTCTACATCCTCCCACTTTGAAGACAGGAGGGCTGGGGCCCAAAGAGTCAGCAGCTGCCTTTGCCCTTCCCCTGGCACTCTAGAAATTGCAAGACAGAGTGCTGTACTCAGTCCCTGTGTGAGGTCCTACGTGACCCACAGTGGCCCCCACAGGAGCCCCCAATATCCGTAGTGCCCTGCAGCATCCTGTGATGCCTGCCCAGAGCAGGCAGCCTGAGCAGGCCAGGCATCATGACAAGCTAGAGCTGCCCTTGAATTCCTCCTACTGCTCTGGGCTGGGCTTCCTGTAGAGACAGCACCACCCCCACCCTTGTACAGGCCTCAGTTTGCCCATCTGGAACTTGGGAGCTGAATCATAGACTCCCGTCTTGAAGCCTGGAGGAGACTCAAGGGTACCAAAGACCCAGAAAACCTCCTAACCAGTTGGACCCCATTCTGGTGTCCAACTTGCTGTTGGACTCTGCCTGTCAATCTTCCCTTTGCAAGACCTAAGGGGTTGTGAGTGCAGGCAACATGTAGGAGCTAATTCTCTGGTGCTTTAAAGTTAAATTTCTTGGGCTGGGAATGTGGCTTAGTGGTAGAGCATTTGCCTAGCATGTTTGGAGCCCTGGGTTTGATTGCTCATTACCACATAAACACAAAAAGCTGGAAGTGGCACTGTGGCTCAAGTGGTGGAGTGCTAGCCTTGAGCAAAAGAAGCTCAGGGACAGTGCCCAAGCCCTGAGTTTAAGCCCCAGGACTGGAAATAAATAAAGTTAAAATTCTTGAAATGCAATTTGCTTTACAATTAAAATACATTAAATAGAATTTGATTTTAGAAAGTAGAAAAAAGGGGGCTAGGAATGTGGCTTAGTGGTAGAGCGCTTGCCTAGCATGCATGAAGCCCTGGGTTTGATTCCTCTGTACAAGAAAAAAAAAACAGAAAAAGCCAGAAGTGATGCTATGGCTAAAGTGGTAGAGTGCTAGCCTTGAGCAAAAAAAGCTCAGGGACAGTGCCCAGGCCCTGAATTCAAGCCCCAGGACTGGCAAAAAAAAAAAAAAAAAAGGAAAGAAAAGAAAAGAAAAAGACTCAGCACTGCCCTGTTTTCTGTTAGGGACAGGGAATCATGTCTTCTAACCTCAGGGCCTTTGCTTAGGCAGAGCCTTTTGCCTGTCCCGCCTCTGTTCTTCCCTTGGCTGCTACCTGTGTATTCTTCACCTCTCAGCTTAGAGAATCTGTCCTGCGAGGCCTCCCTGGCAGCCCTGGCCACATGGCCCTGGGATCCCCAGCTTATTTCCTTCATACACACACAGCTCCCTCCATTTGGAGAACCCTCAGGTTTGCCTTGACTTCTTTCTGTGCACATCTAACCCACCAGCAGGTCCTGCCTGGAACATTTTTGGAACTGTCCTCTGCTCTTTCCATCACTCATCAGAACAACTGATTGTCTCCACCTACCCCCTCACACCACCCACTGGGCTCCCTGCCTCTCTCCAGGCTGTCTCCCATAGAGCCACTCTCCTGCCTCTCTTCTGCTGAGGACCCTCCTGTAGAACCCACACACACCACTTACAATGGCACGTCCCTTCCCATCTTCTACCCTGCTCCACTACAGCCACCCTGGCCCAGAGCCTTTGCATAGTTGTTTTGTTGTTGGTAGTGGTGGTCCTGGGACCTGAACTAGGCCTGGGTACCACCCCTGAGCTCCTCAGCTCAAGGCTAGTACGCTACCACTAGAGCCACAGCGCCACTTCCGGCTTTTTCTGCTTATGTGGTGCTGAGGAATCGAACCCAGGGCCTCATGCATGCAAGGCAAGCACTCCACCACCTTCCCAGCCCTGCATGGTTGTTCTTGCTCCTGGACTTCTCCCCCGACCCAGCATTGCCCACAAGCCTCCACCGTCCCCTGGCATATTAAGTGTTCTTGTTATCTCTCTTAGTCAGTCATGGCATATCTCCTGTTCATTTTCCTCCTGACGCCATACCTAGCACTTGAACACTGCCTGGGCTTAGTAAACATTGGATGGATGCGTGGGTGGGTGGGTGGGTGGGTGGGTGGATCAATGGGTGGATGAGCAGATAGATGGATAGTTGAATGGATGATTAGATAAAAGTAGTGAGTGGGTAGGTATGTGAATGGAAGGATGGATAATTGAATGAGTGGGTGGGTGGAAGGGTAGGTGAGTAGGTAGATGGATAGGTGGGTGGTTAGGCGGACAGAGAAGTGGAGAACCAAAATTGTGATTGAGCAACTTCAGTTAAATCCCAGCAGGATTTAGGGTGGACTAGTGAGCTTCCTTCAGCTCTGGGAGGAAGCTCATCTCAGACAGGCTCCAGCAGGGGTCTAGCTGCATCTGGTGATGGTCTCATCCTTCTCTGTTCTTATAGATTTGCTATGCCCTGCTCTGTGTCCCCAGATAGACTTCACAACACTCCAGTCTTGGGAGGAGGTGGATGTCCTCCATGGGATAGAGAGGGCTTGTGTGCTGAGCATGTCACAGCCCTCTGAGGGATATTTGCTCACATCTTCACTTTTATGGATGAGCAAATTGAGGCACAGAGAGGTTATTCAGAATTCAGCTACAGTACTACTCCAGTAGTCTGGCTCCAGATGCCTGTCCCTCCACCCCAGCCTCTACATCTGGCTTCTCTGGGACCCACAGAGTCTTTGCCCCTGGAGTCTACACCTCAGTGGTCTCTGTCGTTGATCCTTCAGGATGCCATGACCGGGCCGTCCTTCTGTACGAGTATGTAGGCAAGCGGATCGTAGACCTGCAGCACACGGAGGTCCCTGATGCCTACCGCGGGCGTGGCATCGCCAAGCACCTGGCCAAGGTAGGTGAGCAGCGGACATGGTTAAGGGCTGCCACACTCCTTTTTTTTTTTTTTTGCCAGTCGCAGGGCCTGAACGCTGGGCCTAGGCGCTGTCCCTCAGCTCTTCAGCTCAAGGCTAGCGCTCTACCACTTGAGCCACAGCGCCACTTCTGGCCTTTTCTGAGCACTGTCCCTCAGCTCTTCTTCCCTCACTGTACCACTGAGTCACTTGCCTAGCCCCCACACTCCTTCTTAAGACGAGAGTTCCAGAGTTGATTCCAGCTTGCTTCTTGGCCAGAGCTCAGCCCCTCAAACCTGGCTAGTCAATGGGTTGTAGCAAGCAGTAGGTGGGCACTGAACGGCCTCCTTGCTTTCCCTAGTTTCTAGCTACTGGCCCCTGATTGATACAGTCTGGTACAGCTGGACTGCCCTGGGGCTCCAGACAGATAAATGTTCTGGTCAGTGGGTATGTGCCCCATTCCTGTCCCAACCCCTTTTCTTCTCTGAAGCCTATCAAACCTCTAGTTGCCTGGTTAGCAGGTTGAGGTGTCATGGTGATTATACCTGCAGCAGATAAGACCTTCAGTGTCCCCATGGCTGGTCAGCAGCCTCCACTGACTGCATCCCCACCACAGCCCCTGCTCCTTTATCCTTCTGTAATACTTTCTGAGCCAGGCTGCAAAGCCCTATATCTGTGGAGTCATCCTGAATTCCCAGGGGGTGAACCTCAGGCCCAGACAAAGTGGGAGAGTGGTCAGCCATGGAGCCTGGAGGCTGCAGAGGGGGCCAACCGCAGCCCCCAGCTCAAGCTGGACAGTGTAGCCCCTGGGTGCAGGCTTTAGATTCTGATGGTTGCTCTCCTTCTGCCTGGTCCCAGGCTGCCCTGGACTTTGTGGTGGAGGAGGACCTGAAGGCCCACCTCACCTGCTGGTACATCCAGAAGTACGTCAAGGAGAACCCACTGCCGCAGTACTTGGAACGCCTGCAGCCATGACCCTGGCAGGCGGGAGCGCCCCCTGCTGGCCTTCCACACGGACCCCACCCAGCTGTGTGCTCTCAGGACCCTGCTCCCCCTGGGACCAGGCTCAGAGTTATTTTTGTAAGGACGGTCAGCTGCAGACCTATATCCAGGTTCCTGGGGCTGCTGGCAAAGGATTCAGAGCGATCCAGGGACCCAGGCAAATTGCAGGCCAGCAGCTGTGGTCCCTACAGAGCTTCTCAGAGGCCTTCTGCCCTGGCCAAGCGGGATCCCTGCTCCTTGATCAGCAGAGGCCAGGGTGGGGCCCCGGGCACCACTTCCTGGGCTGTGTCTTTCCTACAAGTGAGGAGGATGCTCTCACTGGAGCCAAGAGGAGCAACAAGAAACCCTCGTGTGCCAACTTCCAAGGGTGGTAGCGCCGAGCTTCACCTGCACCAGCGCTGCCTCTTCTTCTCAGACCTCAGTGCCCTGGCCCAGCAGTGTAGACATGGCAGAGGGTGATACTCCCTCACATGGGAGATAAAAGTAGTGGACAGAGCTCTGGCTCAACATACACATGAACATACATGAACACATGTGCAGGAGGTGGAGACAGACTAGGGGGCAGTAAATGTCTTCCTTTCCTTGGTACCGTCATCTATTACCATCTTCTGTATCAGCTCTGTAGGAAACCTTGGTCCCTGTCCCAGCACCCTCTGGGCCCGACAGGCATCGTAGCATCCCTGCATTCTCTGGCTGTTTGTTTTTTTTTTTGGCCATCCCTATCTGGGTTTTCTCAGAGGGATTGCCTTGGAACTGAGAGAGGGAGGGAGACGCACCATCTTGCATCACTCAAAAGGAAGAAGCATGTCAGCCCAAGGGATCTCTTTCCTACCATCAGATGTTAGAGCACCTGTGGCGAGCACATTCTGTTCCCTGACTTGACTTCAGACCCTTCCCATACCCACTGCCCTGGTGACAACCTGGGCAATGCACCAAACTCACCTTGGTGCTATGGGACCTGCTCAGCGGGGCCTAGTGGTGTCTTTGTAGAGGCTGCTCAGGTCTCTGAGGTCTGACCCGCTTGGCCCCCTATAGAGGTCAAATCTGATCCTGCTCTGAAGGGCTGGCAGAGGACCCCAGGAGCTAAGGTCCCTTACAGGTTGCAGTACCAGTAGTCAGTCCCTGGGGGTGAATTACACCTTCCAAGATTGAGGGCACCCAAGGCTGGGCTCTTGTTCCCAGAGGCTGCTGGGACATCCTATGTCTCCCTCTCCCAGTACAGGGGCTCAGGGAAGTAGATGCTGGGATACTGGTCACCTGGGGAGTGGCATACCCCAGGACCTCTGGCCTTTTTGCTGTTGCCTATCTGGGCTTTCTCGGGTCACCTTGGGACTAGGTGTAGGAGGGAGGTCCATTGTCATCCAAACCTCCATGGTAACCCCTCTCTTTGGTGTTGGGTTAGCCTGGAGGTGACGTTTCCACTCGCCTCCTCACTCTCCAATCTCAGCTTCAAGACCCCCACTCTCTCCCCAGCTATAGCCACTCAGGGGCCCATACACCTGCACAGACACCCTCCCACACCCAGATCTGCACCAAGAGGCCTGTGGGTCCCTGAGCCCCACCACTGTGAGTCACTGGCTTGGGCCAGCATGGTTGCCTTCCCAAGCACCCCACTGCATCCTGGCCTAGCCCGACTGTCCCCCCAAACCTGAGATTGCATGCTGGGTTCTGATCACAGGTGACTCCTGTGGTGGGCCTGCGTCCATAACACAGTACTTGAAGGGGAGGGACCTTGGGCCTGGGAAAAGCAGCAGGGGCTTCCTCAGTGGGTTTGTCCCAAGTTCCTGCGGGGGGTGACCTAGACATCCTCACCGTCTCGGCTGCCTTAAAGTCCCACTGATACCATTCTGGGGGCTCCACAGGGCTGTGCTGGCCTGATCTGGTTATTGAAGTGGCAATAACCACAAGTCCCGGTCACCCTGGAGCCCAGCCCCATCTCAGCCCACACTGCCCAACCTGGTCCCTCTGGTGCTACCCGCTCCCCCCCCCCCCCCATCTGCCTGGCCTCCTGTCTTACCCCCTCTCTATCCTGAAACACTCCAGGAGTCCGTGGTCAGGTGCTGGTCACTCGGGGTCCTGGTAAATGCAGGGCAGAAGGACACGATTTCCCCCCCTCCCCCAAGCAGATGAGGTGTTCTGTTCTCTCCCTAGTCTTCATAGGTGATAACTCACGTGCCTTTCCTACTCAGGACCCACCCTCACTGGTGTCTGGGCTCCCTGGTCATTTCTCAGACAGACATCGCATGACATACATGTCCCTTATCCTGTTTTAGCTGGTGAGAGGCTGAGGTATAAGGACAGACATAGAGCCCCAGGGGAAGGAAGGGAGGGCAGACCAGCCACCTGGAGGGGTCCTTCATTGTGCTCTTTCGGTGTCAGCCCTTTTCTCATTGTCATGCCACCTGCATTGCTGGGGACAGCCACACTCCAGAGAAGATGAGCCTCTGAGGCATTGACGAGGGCCCAGCTCAGGTCTCCCAGCACCGTGGTGCTGCTGCTGGTGTCAGGATTCCAACACTGATCTCGGTGACTTTGTCATCTGTAGCCCATTTGAGCCATCCTGGATCCCCTACCATGGCCCACCTACACCTCCCCACCTTCCAGGCCACACTACAGCCCCTGAATGACAGCTTTATAGAGATTCTTAGGAAGAGGCCAGATATCACACAGACGCAAAAGTCCAAGTTAGTTAGTGAGTTAGTACTTCTGGGATTTCTGGCCCAGAGCTAGGAGATTGGGGCCTGACCTTGGTAAACACCTGGAAAAGCAGGCAGGAATCTGGCACAGGCTGAGGGCCAGGACACTTTCCACCTACCAAAATAGGAAGAGACACAGCAGTTAGCTGCTCTTCCTTACTCCTTTCAATTTTCCCCCGCAGTCCCAGGACAGATCAGTTATTAGGCCTCTTTGATAGATGAGGGTCAGAGTGACAGAAGTCATTAGCCTATGGCCCGCACAGCCTGAGGGACCAGGATCCAAAACCAGTTCCTGTCCTTTCTAGTGCTGGGCTGGCATGTGGTGACATGGTCTCAGAAAGCAATAAATAGATCAGACTAACAGCAACTTCCTTGCTCATTCAGAAGGTTAGGATGGGGGCTTTTGTCTTGAGCTAAGTGTATGGCTTATCTGGAGTACCTTTCCAGCATGGAGGAGGCTGGGTGACACTCTAAAACTGAGGCCGTACATGGAGATTTGTGGACCACCTGGCCACATACACTGTCCTCAGCTCAGGACTTGAGTTGGTTCAAGTTCACCCATATATCCCTTTAATATTCTCAGGGTCCCACTCCTTCCAGATCAATGCCTAACATTCACATAAAAGATCCAGTAAGGTTGTGGATTCAACTTGTACTGTAACCCACGGCCTGCAGGATTGAATTTAGTATTGTGTTTTCAGTTGTATCCATCCTATGGCTACAAGATATTAAAGATGCTTTTCTGGTTGTCAAAGATGCTCTCTGGCTTTCTGTTGGTGCCTCGGGCAAAATGAGTGATCATATTCTTCCTGCTGAATGTCTATGGTGGTTGGCAACCATCAGCCACTCCAGGATCATACTAGGTGTTGGCCTCAGGACTACAATTGTAGTCAGTCACCACGCAGGCCCTTGGGCTTTGCTTTCAAAGGACATTTCACTGTCAGGAGCTGGTGGCTCATCCCTGTAATCCTAACTACTCGGGAGGTTGAGATCTGAGAAATGCAGTTCAAAGCCAGCCTAGGTAGGAAACTCCATGACACTTGTATCTTCAATTAATCATCAAAAAGCTGTAAGTGGAGCTGTAGCTCAATGGTAGAGTGCCAGAATGCCAGCCTTGAGCTAAGGGACAGCAGCCAGGCCCTTGAGTTCAAGCTCCAGAACCAGCACATACACAAACACACATATACATACAGAGTTCACTTACTAGTACTGGGTTTGCCGCTTGGTCCATTTTATGCTGTCACAGCAGAATCCTTGAGATTGACTGATTTACAAAGAACAGAGATAGAGATCTTGCAGTTGTAGAGGCTGGAAAGGCCAATGAGCCAACAGGGCTCTTGCTGCATCATCCCATGAGGAATGGCAGAAAAGCAAGAAGGTATGTGCATGCAAGAGAGAGGGAGACAAACTCATCTTCACAAGTGAGCCATTCCTGCAATAATGACATTAACCCATCCCTGAAGGCAGAGCCCTACCTTAGAGTCCTACCTTAAAGGTCTCTCAGCACTTACCAGTGCTGAGACTAAATGTCTATTGAAAACTAAGTGTCCATAACATAACTTTTTTTTTTCCATTGTGTGATTGAACTCAGGGCCCAGGCACTGTCCCTTACTTAGCTCTTTTGCTCAAGGCTAGCACTCTATCACTTGCAGCCATAGCACCGCTTCCAATTTTCTGCTGTTTAGTTGGAGAATCTCATGGTCTTTCCTACCCAGGCTGACTTCAAACTGCAGTCCTCAGATGGCAGCCTCCTGAGTAGCTAGAATTATAGGTGTGAGCCACCCGTGCCTGGCTAGCACCTAACCTTTGAGAGACACATTTGAACCACAGCAGCACTGAATACTCCAAGCTTTAAGGTACCCATTATCCCTCCTAATAATGACGTAATTCCTAAGTTCCAGCCAGCTAAATACTCAGGTTCCCAGCTTTGAGGGACTGTTTGCTAGGAAGTCGCTCCTGCTGCCAGGAACAATATCAGCTAATTACAGAAGCAGAAGAAATGGAGACTTCCCAGGTGCTTCAAACAGAATTTTGGTGTAAGGGATTGGCTGTGAAAACTTGGAAGCAAAAATAGAGGTCAAAAGGTGAGATTATCCTTTTATTGGTAACACAGGAAGCTGTCTTTACAACAGAGACTGAAGGGACAGGAAGTGTCCAAGTTGTGACCACAGCAGAGCTGAGGGTACCCAGTAGAGAAGCTCACTGCCTAAGGCACAGGTAGTTGTGTCTGCTGCTCCCTGCTGTGGCCCTACTAAAAACACTGCCAAGCATAGAAACCTTGCTGTCCAATCCCCAATCAGAAGCCCACTGGCCGAGGCTTGGGCAGATGTAGTATGCAGGCTACAATCCTTCTGTGACACTGAGGAAGGGAAGGGATCTGGTAGCCCACAGACCAGTAATCAGGATAAGCAGGAACATCCTTGCCTGCTAGGCGTATGGCATATGGCCTACTGCCAATCCATTGATTTGAATAATGAGACTGGGTGTAAGTCAGTGGTAGAGCACTTGCCTAAGGCCCTGAGTTCTATCCCTAGCACTCCCCATTCAAAGCCAGAAAGAAGAGAGAGAATGGTGGGCACCAAAGCCACAGAATGACTGTTAGGAGGGCCGGTCACCATCATCCTAGTGTTGGCCCTTCGCCAACTACAGTGCTACGGGAAGCAGAAGCTGGCTTCTCCTGGAAGGAGTACTAGCCTAGAGCAAAAAAAGTCCAGGGACAGCGCCCAGGCCCTGAGTTCAGGTGATAGGAGCAGCACGCGCGCGTGCGCACACCACAAATCTCAGTAGTACTTGCAACCACCACCACCTCTATGTAGTTCCCAAACATTCCCATCACCTCAAAAAGAAATCTATTCCCATGAGCAATCATTTCCTATGTCTTTCCCCCAACCTCAGCTCCTGGCAACCACTCATCTGCTTTCTCTTTGGATTAGCCTAGTGTGGACATTTCCTGTCAATGAATCAACGTTTCTTCTCTGTCTCTGGCTTCTTTACTCACAATAAACAACGCTGGGCTGGGAAGTTGGCTCAGTGGTAGAGTGCTTGCCTTGCATGCATGAAACCCTGGGTTCAATTCCTCAGCATCACATAAGCAGAAAAAGCCAGAAGTGGTGCTGTGGCTCAAGTGGTAGAGTGCTAGCCTTGAGGTAAAGAGCTGAGGGACAGCACGCAGGCCCTGAGGTCAAAACCCACAACCGACAAAAAAGAAAAGGAAAAGAAATAAGCGAGAGAAAAGTCCATCATGTTTCAGTAACTGACTTTAC